GCGCGGCCCTCCTCCCCGCCCCGCGGCGACCGTTAAACCGTTAAACGACACGGGGGCAGCGGCAACGGGGGCTCTTTATTGGGGGCACTCGGGTAGCGCCGCGCTAGTAGCGGYGGGGGAGGCCGGCGGGGCGGTAGCGGTTGGGGTCGCCGCCGCTCCGGCCCCACTCGTTGGCCTCCTGGTCGGCTGCGGTGTCCTCGGCGCCGCGGCCGCTCACGCCGCCCTGCCAGTTCTCCCGGGCGTCGCTAGGAACGGGAAAAAGGGAAGCTTGAGGCAACCACCCCTCACAATGCCCGGGAAAAGGGATGCTTGAGGGAACCACCCCTCACAGTGCCTGGGAAAAAGGGAAGCTTGAGGCAACCACCCCTCACAGTGCCTGGGAAAAGGGATGCTTGAGGGAACCATCCCTCACAGTGCCCGGGAAAAAGGGAAGCTTGAGGCAACCACTGCTCGCAGTGCCTGCTCAGGTAGTGCTGGGCTACGGAACCGGGAGCCAACTCAAACATGGGGTCAGCCGGCACCCGCGGTGCTGGAGCCCCCTCTGCCCCCTGTACCTGATGACTTTGGCAGCCCAAGCACCCCCAGGGCCGCGCTGGGCAGCATCGTAGTTCCCACGGGCATGGAAGTACTTGTCAGCTCCCACATAATTCGCCTCGCGCATGTCCCGGTAGGCTCTGAGCATGTCCCCGGCGCCTGCAGAAAGCATTGAGGTGATGCTCGATTTTAATGGCCCTGCCCCACACCAAGCACCACCTCAGGCAGGGTTGCGTGGGTTAGTGYTGGGCCAGTGGTCCCCAAGGGATTTCCCAAGGGAAGGGCTGTGGTAACAGCTCTGCTCACCTCCCACTGCATCCCAGACAAACTTCCCAGCCCTGTAAAAGGGGTTGTCAGCACTTGCACACACGGCAAGGGAGAGCAACAGGAGGCAGACGCTGAGCTTCATGGCTCACTGTCCAAGGCTGGCCCAGAGCTGTGAGGAAACATGAGAAAGGGGCAGCACTTTTCTAGAGGTTTGAGGCATAACAATMATCACACTCATGGCTGCTGGAGGGCAGCCGCACTGGTAACTGATGCCACCCCAACCAAGAGCCCCCTTTTCCCCACTGCAAGAACTGATGCCTTCAGTGGGAGCAGAACCCAACACAGGACTCCTCACACAGGCAGGAGAAACTCACACTGCGACAGTCCCTGCTGCTCCTTCTCACTCGGTACTAACAAGTCCCACACATCAAAGCACTAGTCCTGTTCCTAACTAGCAGATAAACCCCCCTGCTGCTCTCTGATGCAGAAGATCACTCACCACTGCAGAACAGCAAGGCCAGGAGCAGTTGTCTTGTGTCCTCAGAGGCAGACCGAGTATTTATAAGCAACTGAAAAGAAAAAAAAAAGAGGAAATTGGAATGGATTCTCAAGCATGGGAATTTCCCACTCCCATTTCAACACAGAAAGCATTACTGGAAACTTCTCTCGGTCCTCACTCAAAGTCTGTAAGTACTGTTGCACAATTYAAGCAAACAAAAAAGCATATGGGGCTTTAGATTTCCTCAGGCCTACCTACTCTCTGTAATGAGCAACTTGGGAAGCCGCCTTGCTGGTCCAAGTGGCTCCAAGCATTAGAGCTGGCTGGAGAGCAACACTGGTGCTGAGGAGGATCCATCAAAACTGCCCCATCACCTGCATTTACCATGGAAGATGCATCAAAGCTGCCCCATCACTTGCACGAACACAAGGTCAGGAGGACAGAGGAGCTGCCTCCGAGGTCCATGCGGGAAGCACCGAACCCAAGCCCTACACTTACCGCGGCAGCTGGCAGACACCTGGTGCTGCTCGTGGGGTTGGCAGCTGCACAGGCTGCTGCTGCACATCCCTGCTGCTGCTGCTGGGGATGGAGCGAGCGCCTCCTCCAGCCGTGGCGAGAGGGCTCCCATGCTTCCTTCTTCCCTCATTTACTCGCACGAGCTGTAGGCCCTTCTGCTGCAACACTGGCTCAGAGCGTCCAAATACGGGGTATTTTCAGCGCAGTGATATAGAAAAAGCAAAGTGAAATCCAAACAGCCACACGGCAGGCGGCTTTCAAATTAAATGTAGCCAAGTGCCAGGCCATCCTGGGATGATCCAGGATTAACGTCCCCACTGCCACGTCTCTGYGAGACGCCCCAGGAAGGGTGCTTGGCACTTGCTTCCCTCACGTAACCACCGTTTCCTACTGAAGGTTCCGAGTTTTGCAGTTTTGCTTTAGGTTCAGGGCTTAAAGCATCTCTCCRCTCTGTGGTCTCATACAGGATTTAACATAATTCTTTATATTCTCCACAGAAGATGTAGGTGTAGCTGTCCCATTCACCACTATCACTTCAACAATTAGCAGCTGGAGTTTAAGGGAAGTATAGGAGATAAGAGTGTGATAAGCTCAGAGCTGATGAAATGCCAACAACAAACATGCCTCGCACATCCTACAGCTGGAAATAAGCTTAAGGCAGGAAGAGACACTTTCTAGCTACAGCCTGGAGGRGAAAGTTACATTATCTACTATACTATCTCTGGAGAAAATAAAATAGAAAATGAGATAAGGATCATTTGTGTTGTAGYCCACTGGAAAAGGAAACTTTGCAGAAAGCAAAGGCCAGGCAGTTGTGACCCCACCACTCACGATCCCAGTGCTCAGTTGGTAACAGCTCCATTATTGCCAGGTCTGGGGTGCTTTGCTGCACTGTTCACATCTTGGTGARCACTCACGCCCTTAAGGGGGACATCACATTCCTTCTGTCGGCTGCAAGTGTCCATGCCTGTCTCTCCTGAGTCCTAATAAAGCACACACATATGTATACATATGTGTGTGTATGTGTGTACATATATCAAGACTGGAAAATGTCTCCAGACAGTTGGGGAAGAGCCTCAGTAATATGTGTAACATGGGAGCAGGGACCTAGGACACTCCTGCCTGCAAACCCAACTGAAAGAGCACTTCCCTTGAGAGTTTTGGCATTTTTGGACCACAGAGGATATTACAAGCCTTCTATTCTGAATGTGCTCCCCAAATTCTATGTGAGTAGCACAGTCACAAGCATGCAGAAGGGTTTCAATGTCATAGTTCTTCCTGGCCTAGCACCAAAACATGTGCTATGAGCACACTACAGCATTTACACACTCTGCCAACACAGCACAACCAGAGGCCCTCTGGGACTTGCTCACAAGTGTGCACATTCTGACATAAAGATACATAAGGTAAAAGATACTACAAAAACCCCCAAAGAGGTCTAGATTTTCCAAGCAACTGGAAAATTCATCATAAACACCTACACAATGCAGCCTCCCTTCTGCAATCTAGTTATTTTGCAATCCAGATCAGTAAAGCTGATTGAGAAATAGGACAAGATGAATTATCAACTCAAACACAATGGTACATGCAGTTATTCTGGGAAATAATACTGCCTTATCTAAGTTTACCCAAGCAACAATTGACTTCAGGGAATTCTGTCATGGATTATTTACCAACACCATACCCCTCAGAGGGTAATAATTTTAAGCCTCAGAGGCTTACAAATTGGCTTGCAGATGGGCTGGAAACTTGGTCTCTCCTGCATTTCTAGATGCTTATCCTACACAGGACTGCTATCCCTGCATGCGTTGGTAATAGTTGGAGCAGTAAAACCATGATTTGCTGCACACATGGGGCATTTGCAAGAACCTCTATTTGTGTCTGCTCCCTCAGGGCCCCCATCACCACRGGTCGGCTGGCAAAATCAGAGCTGAGCACGCACCGATTCAGCACATGTCAGTCTAGACCAGCRGGGGCTACACCAGGAGGCTGGTAGTAGCCGTGTCACCTCTCCAGTGCCATCCTTGAGGAAGCTTTTTCRCTACCCAAAAAGGTCAAAATGGACTTGGAAACACGCCTGTCCTTAYATCCTGTTGAAATAGCCCAGCTCAAGTCATATTTCCTCAAAAGACATTAGCAGTTTAGGAATGCCATGCTCGCATAGTTTAGCATTTAATTAAATTCAAATCCTCTATTAATCTTTGCTTTTATCCATTACTGCACTCCCCCCAAAACACTCCTCCCCATTTTAAGACTTGCTCTTCTAATGCCTTTTTGAATTGACAAGAATAGATCATATACTTTGAGGGAGAAAAAGTTCCYGTCACAAGTGTTCCTACAGCTCCTTAATAAAGTGAATATAATTGTCAAGAAAGTGAGAGAGATCTGTGCTTTTTTATTTCCCAAGAATGGGTACTCATCCTGGCAACAAACACAAACCCGATTTTATACACAGTAATTCAGTACTTCGGCACTCCTATTTCAACACTTTAATCACACAGACTCAGAGAAAAATATAAATCCAGATATTTTCATCTCAAGTCTTCAGCATAATGTCAGGATACAACCTGTATTGTTACATTTTAAGCTCAGGAGTTCAAAAATCATTTGCAAAAGAATAAAAAGCTGTCAGGAATTCCTGGCAAAGTACCTCCCAGACAGAGACTGAAGACAGTGGAATTATTAAACAGGAGTTCATTTCTTTAACAGACTATGAAGCTTAAGAGGCACTTTAATATACAATAGTTACAGTATTTAAAAAAAAAAAAAAAAAGTATGTTCCCAAAGTTTCCAGAATCATTTTCTATGCTTGCTGAGACCACAAGAACCGGTCACACCTTTCCAACATGGAATGGATCAGGGCTCTGCAATAAAAGCAAAGAAAGAAAACAAACACTTCAAGACAACTGTGTTTTGTTTTGTCTAATCAAAGTCTGTCCAAAGCATGATTGTATTTCAGAGATAACACCATGACATCACCACACATGGTCTCTTTGGGAAGGAGGGAGCAGGTCAGAACCAAAAGCACATGGAAGGACTGAGCAAATCAGAAATCCTCTTCACACAGTCCACACACAGAATCTGAGGGCCTGACAGAATCCTTAAATTGACATCAATCCTTTCAGRATACCGTATCATCTATTTTCAGAATACAGTATCATCTGTTTCCATGCTCTCTTTTTCAGAAAGAGAGTAAGGTCTCTCAAATAAGTATACAGCAGCAGAACAGACTTCACATTTTGAACTTATCCATCATGGTCTATAGCAGGTATTTTAAAACCCCTTTTTCAGCCAAGCTGTACAAATAATTGCTAAAAAAGAAGAAAGCTGTCTCTCTTCTTCATAATTTCTTCATTTTTGAAGACAGATATAAGTCAATAATGACCACTTTTTTCAAAGGAATCCATCTTTAATGCACTATTTCCCATTTCCCTCATTTTCCATTTTTAGGGTGTCTATACCGAATCAACAGTACAGCTGCTTCATACGAGAAAAGCTCTCAATTGACTTTCCAGGTTCAGAGACAAGATGGGACATATTTTATTTTCTGTTAACTGACAAGAAAACCCGAAGCAAGAGGAAGACCCGAGATGCACAGTGTGCCTAGACAGATGTAAGGACATGCCCTCTTACCTTTGCCTCTTCTCTGCAATTCTCAGCATCTCCCAGACCCTGCTAAACCTCTCGGACAGCTCTAGGGAGCAGCTGCACTCCTGCAGCAGGGGCAAGGCGCGATTCAGGCCGACAGCCTTGGCCAGGAGCAGAGAGATGTTCTCCACGGTGATGCAGCTGGCCCAGCCAGGGCTGCCGTTGCCGACAGCGTCCCCGTTATGTACGTTGTGCTGATGGGAAGCAGCGCTATGATTTGCTGCAAGATGCAGAAGGAACTTCCATTCTTCTGTGGTCTCTGGGATCAAACCTACGTTCAAAACGAGACCGTTAGCACTTGACTTGCAAAACAAGGATTCTTCCAAACCTTTTCAATATATCTCCACTTAAAAAGGAACCTAGAAATCTGCTTCTCTCTTGGAAGGTTTAAGAAAACCTCAGATGTCAGCAACGAGCACATTACATAAAAGCACATTACATAAAAGCAGGGCATGCTGCCTTGACTGACTCAGCGTAAAGATCCAGCATTGAAATATTCTAACTTTTATAATAATATAGAGTCTAAAACACTAAACTGAGCCAAAAACTAAAGAATCATTTTCTTTATCTAAAGGCTACTGGGAATTTTCTTCTGCCAGGTACCAGGCAATACTTTGTGCATACGCTCCATGGGGATAATGGGAGGTGTTTGAACTGGGTCCTACACTAGCTACTCACTCCTCCCTGTGCAACCCCACGTTTGCCTTTCACTTCTGCCTGAGATATCCACATTATTTGCACATTTTCTATCAAGGCTGATACCGAGTACCAAAATATAGCACCTATTTAAGGGTTTCAAACATGCTGTCCTATGTTCTTAGCGGAGCCTCTGCCAAAGCAGGGGCTTATTTTTAAGTGTCATTCAACTCGGGACAAACCTCATCAGTATGTAACAAAGAAAGTTTCTGTATTAGAGGTATGTTTACACAGCTTAAGAGGCACTAACCATCTTCTCCATTCAACAGGCTCAAATCATCCAAATGAGCAATATTAGTAAAGGCTTCTATTCTTCTATCCAGCTCCAGACAGAGAAAAAGATATCCAGGCCAGAATCTTAAATAAGAGAGTAAAGATTTCCAGGAATCAAATACTCATCTAAACTGAAGCCAACAGTAATGAAGTGCTTTTTCTTATACACAGAGAAGACAGAAGCAACAGAAATCTTGCATACCAGGAACAACACTACTCTTTGCAGTACAAGGACACAGGGAATAMCCCAAAATCCAAAAGAATAGGGGGCTACTCATGCATTTAAACAGACTTAGAATTAAAAACTAGCTCCCACTGTGAAAATTAAAATAAACCGGTTCAAGTAAGGAACAGATGGATGGTTTTCATTTGGGTCTTTGATTTGTGTGCCTCAGAATTCCAACCAAGAACCAAAAATAACCAAGCTTGTCTTACCCATGTGATTTACAGATGTCAGCCATCTTCTCTTTAGTTACAAAGTCAGCTGGAAGTTTAATCAAAAGCAGAATTAGCTGACTGTAGCCCCAGGTAAACAAATGCGATCTTGGCCTGGAAAAAAAGAAATTCAGTTTTAAGTGTCGACTTATTTTTCCATAAATTTAACCCAGTCAGTTATATGAAATGAGAAAAGCACAAGAAATGAAACTGTATATGCAATCTTGGCAGAGAAGCCTTCCTGAAAAACGATTTCAGATAAAGAAGTTACCTAATCCTCCAGCTGCTTTTGTTGAACTCTGGAACACAAGAAATGCCCCAATGATTCGGTGGTTTTCAAACTGTTACATAAAACGTAAACAAAAGCCTACAGACCAGCCAAAGCTTTTTGCTTTGCTGGGCAACCCAAGCGAGCCCTACGTTACCTGGGATTTCCTTCTGCATCCACAGTGTTGGCTCTTTGTGGTGCATCATGAGTAACAGCCAAGTACAGCCAGTCTAGGCGCAGAGACTCWGGCTGCAGAAGAGACCTGAGGAGATGAGACCTAGGTCATAAAGCACATGGAAAARTTATCAGTTTTAAGTACACTGAATATGGAGCAGTAACAACCACATGTGTGCACACCCACGCACACAGTCGGAGCATGGATGTAGCTAAACCACCACAATGCAATACCCAGAAAAACAAAAGCAATTCTCCACATGTAGAACAGCCTAGAGCGAGTTATGGTTTTAGGGACTGATGGGAACAGCAGGAAATGGTCAGATTTACAGTTTGTTTTTAAATCTTGTTTAACCTTGATACTGCACTGCAGGCACAGGAAGGCAAACAAGTCAGTTCCCTTTAAGAAACATATAGAAAAATCCTCTTAAAAATAGGAACTAATCTCATGAACAACGTAGGCTGAGACACCAGCTGCAACTAGCAGAATGAGATAGAACCCAAAGCCAAGGAGCACCACAGAGATGCAGGAAGAGCAAACACGAACAGCTGCCTTATACACGGTCCACATACAAAAGAAAAAGGTTGTACATTCACTTTACCKTTCCTCCTCTGGCTTTGATTTCACAAGACTATCTAAATATGCCAAAAAGTGAGCTGGGTCATTCCGGCAAAGTTGCCTGACATCTGAAGGCAAAATAGAGGGGTGGAACTTGATTAAAGGGCGAAGAGCTATTTCCCCAAACTTCTCATAAAGCCTAAAGAGAAAGGAGAAGCATTATTCTCAGTGCCAAACAGCTGCAAAACTACCATTTACCAATGGCAGTTTTTACTACCATTTACCAAGGCAGAGTAACTATTTTAAAATCCATCTCTCTTGCAAGTTAAAGATACTATTGAAAGATCATCTCTTAAAATTCCCCGAGTGGATATACAATAAGTTTAATAAATGTTGAGTAAAAACCTCTCAAAAACCCATTCCTCATGTCAAGTTAACAATATACAGCTACCAAGAGTTAAAAAAGGCAAGCARCTAAATAAGAAAAACTATGAAGAGGGGGCTACACACCTCTGAGCATGGACCAGTAACAGAGGGCTATCGTCCCAGGGCCCCAAATCRTGCAATTGTCGCAGTATTTTCAGCATATCTTCATTCTCCATTGCCAAAACCACTGGACTGTGACAAGTTAAGTCTGAAATAAATTGATATACCCATTACAAAATAAAGGCAACATTTTTGCCTAGTACTCCCCCCACACAGTGCTGTTAAGTACAAGGAGAATAAGTTTTCAGTACTTGCACAGAATTTTTTCTTTAGCTAATAGTGGTAACAGGTGAACAGATTCTACTTGATCATATGGCCATTTCATAGAAGCCAACATTACTAAGCTGCGCTTAGCAGTTGCAGAGAAAACTATAGAGCTAAAACACAGAATAATATTTTCAATATATTTCCCTTCTCTTCAGGCTTCAGAGGAAGCAGTTCCTCACGTGCACTAAGATGGCGAACTGCAAAACACAGGACTTGCCACATCCTCAAACATCATATACCAGCCACCACAACAAGATTCTGCTGTTTAGCTAGCCTGTCAGGACAGAGACTTTATTTCATCCTTAAAAGAAAACATATAAAACAACAGCTGAATGCAGAGAAAAACTGAAGTTCTGTTTTCCAGGATAATCAAGAAGCTTTGCTTCAAAAGGGCTAAAGGGACAGCAAGAAGCGTGGAAAGGATTTCTGTGGAAAAGGAAACCTGAAGTCATCACAAGCCATTTGTGYTCACAGTTGAGCCTTCCCTTCTCAGTGCAAATGCTGAAGTCCTTCATTTAGCCTTGATACTTTACTTGTTACTACATATAAATGATTTTATTTAAGATGTTTCAAAGCTGTTCTTTGAAGCACATGCATCTATCTGTAATCACACAGTGTTCAAGAAACAAACTATCTATGAAATAAAAGGTTCTAGAATTAATTTCTGCAGAACTACTAAATCAGGAGTGAGGATGGGGGGTAGGAGCATGGTGGCTTTCTCTCCTGAGAAGCAGTAGTTGTTTACAAAATAAGGAAAAAAGCTCCTATTGGGTAAAAGCAAAAATCTCAGAAACAACCCTCCAAAAAGGGTCCACATCAACCAACTTCCTCTTGCATCCTACTTTAGTTCCTTACATCTGAAGAACAACTTAYCACACGAACCAGTGTGTATTTTCAAGCTTTTTTTTCTCTTGTTCCTCCCAAAATAGAAAGCTTGCTTGGACTAAGTTACTGGTTTTACTCATAATAAAGTCTAATTAGTTACCTTTCAATCCTGCCATGTACGTTTCCCACACACCAGGGCTGTCTGCGTAGCTGGTTATAATGCACTGCTTGAGTCTTTTCAAATCCAGAAGGAAGAAGTAGCTTCGCAGGAACCTACAAGCTGAGGTGCATGAAGACGTCGCTGCTGGAGCGGGATCAGGACTTTCCTTGGCATTGCCATTTCCACAGAACACACGTAACTCGAAGCAGAGCGTCGCCAGCTCAGTGAGGTCTCTCTGAACAGCCTCTTCTATCCCACAGGGAGGGGACACTCTAAAGTCACAGCTCAAAGTTCTCACTGAGTTGGTGCTACTTTCACGTGCGRCTTGGGCTACACAGACATCAACACTACTTCCCTTTGCAGTGCAGGTTGCCAAGACATCGCTCTGCTCCTTGTCTGCCCTGTCTTCACCACTCGTATCCAGCTGCAGGTTTTCCTCCAAGACCTCCTGCTGTTCCTCGGTGGTCTTGCTTTCCCCCAAAGATGAGGCAGAATACTCTTTGCTGCCAAACTTCTCTTCCAGATGAAGAAGCCACTCCAGTAAAACCCTTCTCATACACTGTGGTTCTAACAAAACCAGGGGATCCTGGAGTTTGGCCCTGCAGCATAAGAGAGCAGCCTGCTGATTTGCTGGACAGTTAAGAAGCCACAAATAGCATGCATTTACTGCATAACTCAAAACATAATGTTAAACTTGACAATTTCGAGTGCTTCAAAAGGCAGTTTAGACCACATGTGCTCTTTACATTCGATGTCACTGTGTTTATGACTTTCTGATTTGCCAAACATTATTGCAGAACTGAGTTCAGTTTGTTCTGTTTTCAAGTATGCTTATAGTTAGCAAAGGGCTGCTCTAGTGTTATCGTTCGGTCATCTACGACCTTACAGCGAGTTCTGCTTAGCTTTAATGTGAAAAAAAAACGCACTACCTAAAAGCAGCACCATAGAGTTTACATTAGACATAATGTTAATAGATATATGTACAGCATTACTCTTACATGTGGTTAAGAAAAAGAAGATTTATCATTTTTCTACCAAAGCCCCATAAGTCCATGCACAAATAAGTTTGCTTGCTTACATAGCTTCTGCTGTTGCAGCCTTGAGATCACTTAAGTGGTCCTCTTCGGGAAGTGGGCAGCTCTGTGGTTCTGATCTGGAGCAAAACATTCTGACTTCAGTCTCATCTTAACATAACTTTTGTATTTAATCTCATAATTTAAATGAGGCTTTTCCTCCAAATTGGAAGGAGGGAAGGAACTGGAAGGAAGGAACTGGAAGGAAGGAACTGGAAGGAAGGAACTGGAAGGAAGGAACTGGAAGNGGAAGGAACTGGAAGGAAGGAACTGGAAGGAAGGAACTGGAAGGAAGGAACTGGAAGGAAGGAACTGGAAGATGCTTCAGGCAGTGAACTCCGAGTTCACTGCCTGAAGCCCCCTGCTTTTCCAGCATCCAGAGGGGTTCACTGCCTGAAGCCCCCTGCTTTTCCAGCATCCAGAGGGGTTCACTGCCTGAAGCATCTTCCAGGTGAGGAGTCAAGGAAAACCACTGAAGCCAAATTAACAAAGGTGACTGGAAAACTTGACAAGAATCTCATTCAATTCCCCATTTTACTCAAAAAGGCAAGGTTTGTTTTTTGGTTTTGGTTTTAAAAGTTTTTTCTCCTCAGAACACACAGCAACTGCAATTGTTAAGACAACATGATCCTGTACTCACTCTTTCTCTTCCGGAGGAAATGCTTCCACATTAGCAGGCACCTCCTGCAGCTGCTCATCATCCCTTGCTTCTTGCCTTCCTCTAGCATCAGAGCTTAGATGAAGAGTGCCAATCTTTTCAGTAGTTTTGCGTACAAAGCTGGAAACACTAGAAGTCAAGTTGAAACATTTGAAATTGTACCAAGTTAACAAGTGAAAGAATCAAGTGCTTTCTTTCTGTACCAATTATCGCTTCAAAAAACCTTTATAAGCTGAAGGATTCTCACAAAACAGTCTCTTCAATAATGACCAACAGAACAAAAATGAATAACAAAAAGCTCAAAACATATGCTTCAGACAGTCTGTACTTCCAGCACAGAGGACCAACAAGTATTTGAACAGACATTTTCTGCTGCTTCAGAAACAGGATCACATACCAACATTAGCACTCAAATTTTTGTTTATCTGCACTTATGTAACAATAAATGATGACTGGCTACCTGCACTTCAGAGTTTATAGGCRATATGCCATCACTAGGAAGTTACAGCCTTCTCAAGTGGTAAGAAACTGTGTTGCAGTACTGCACATTGATACTTCAGAGTACAAAGCCTACAAAAACTTTGTCACAAAGTAATACAGAAGTAATACAGAATTCTTCCTTGCTTTCCTTCTGCTACTTTAATCAGAAAAGAGCTAAACCCCAAAACAACTTTTAAAAATTTTGGTGCAAGTACAAATCACAACCCCAGTTTACAGGGTACAGTCAAAGTTCTTAACAGACATTCAAAAACTGAGGCTGAAATCTTGGCTCCATCAAAGTTCACGTCAATTCTTTGTGTCATCTTTGGGGTCAAGAGGAAAGCTTTAAACGGCCAAACACGCTGGGTTGCACCTGCTGTGTTTTATTCCCATGTTACATTCTTGCAGAACATAGTGCAGACGAAACCAGACAATATTACAATTTCACAGGAGGGAAAAGTGGCAGGATGTAATGGATGAATGAATCTCCTGCAAGCTTTACCTTTCCTTGACAGCCTGGAGGGAGACGAGAGGAGATGGGGAACGAAATGACAAAGGGATACTGAATGGGAGAAATGTCTCGTTCCGATCAGCCTCGACTGCCACAGACGCATGAGAGACGTTGTCTAACAAATGGAAGTGAAATAAAAAATCATAAAACAGTGGCTTGTCAAAAATGAAACACAGAAACAAAACACAGGTCGTTAATCATTTGCTAGAGAGCCTGCATGKGGTACCTTCGTGCATTGGCTTGAGGAGGTGCAAATATTGACAATGTTTTGAGAAATCATTTGCTAGTACAACCACAYGTACAAAGTGATCCCATAAGTGATACAAATATGGAGAAGAGATACTTGTAATTAAAGATCAATTTTGCATCAGTCAAACCCATCTGGATGTTTGAGAGCAGAAGCTAACCTACTACAAAAGCCAATTAATAAACCACAACCTCTTTACACAGAGAGTGTCTAGAGATCAGAACTGATTTTGAAACTCTAGTAAATAAGGCCGCTTTTGTTCATCATATAGATCTAACAAATAAGAACTTATGACAACTTACGTAAATARGAACAGGGAAGCCAGTTCCAGTACAGAGAAGAAGAAAGAAGTCATACACCAAGTATACTATTTACCTTAATTACCACATGAAATACTTGAGCACAAAAAAAAGCATCCAAACTTTCCTATTTCAAAACCATCAGTCAATTTTAAACCTATTTCACTCCATAAGTTATAACTCCGAACACTGAGATAATGATTCTTCATTTAGGAGATTTTAATGTTTGAAATGACACACTATGTGTATCAGCATAAAAATATCAAGTGAGCAGGAAGAGGCAAGTGCAAATGAATGGGCTACAAAGAGCACTTGCTTTCGTCAGMAGGTCAGCACTACTGAAAAAAAGGGTAATTATGAATTCCTATATTCTCCTACTGCAGTTTTCCTGGCAAAGCAACCGAATTATCTCCTTCCTCAGATGGCACATACTCTCTGCAAAGCTCAAGGGCAGACTTTCTAATACCTCAAATTAAGCCTGGTCCTCATGACTCTCAAGTTTCTGCATCCCCCACTAACCCAAGCAGAGCAGAGAACAAGACCTACTATGTTCTTCTGTAGCTTTTATCCAGAGACAGATACGCTGGGGGAAGAGGAGAGGAAAAAAAAGGCAGCTCACTGGATGCCCCAAGCATTAGCAACCAGCCATTAATACCAATCTCTATGCTAACTTATCCATGTTTAAGAGATGGTTCTCTCCACAAATAAAACCTTGCAAGAAAGTTAAAAACTCTTATCCTTGATCTACTATTTTCCCCGAAGTAATATAAAGCCAGAGGCAGAAATGAACAAATTATTTCCTGAGACTCAAGTTCCTGGGAGGCTCCTGACCGCAAGCAAGTCTTATTTGAGGCACATTAGCACTGCTGCAGTTAGCCAGGATACATTCAGCATTAATGCTGAATTACACAAAGGGGAAAACCTAATTGTGTGAAATCTTAGTTYAGAGAAAAGCTTTCTGGACCACTTCCCCCCAGACAAGGAATTGGACAGGAGTTATTGCTTTTCTGTTTTAACACTTGACTTTCTATAAAGACAGTATTTCACCCTGATGTTTCTAAAAAGATCATCACTGTTGTGGACCACAGAAGCTGGTGGAAGGCAAGATGTCTGTCTTCCACTGATCCAATTAAAAGTTTTAATCATGGATAAATTCAATTGTGGAAAATGAAAGCAGAGAGCAGTATGATCAAATTTTTGTAGAGTAAATAAATAGCTGTATCAGAAAAATAAGTTTTCATTAAAAGCAATTACCAGGCTCCACCTGYTCATCTTCCTGGTGCACAGGAAATTCCTTAAGTCTTTCCTCTTCTGAAAATGTTTGACTATGGAGAGAACATGAATCTTCATCTGACTGACTGCCTCTTCGACTAATAACACGATATATTCCAGAGTCCAAGATACTGAAGCTTTCCTGTCAAATAAGGAAAAAAAAAGTTAAGATATTTTTCAAGCTGCATTTCATTAAGCCTCCCAGAAGTGAARCAATCATTCTTGCACATATATTACCCAATTAGTGCATAAATTACCACCTGAAGAGAGGGCCAACGTTTTTGATATACCCAAAATACAGAAGTACACGTGTGCTGCTAAGTCTGCAGCCAGCGATGCATATGCTACAACTGCTGTCAGGTAGGCAGTCTATGACAATCACATTAGACAGTACAAGAYCACACGACAAGACATCTCTGCTCTAGTCGTGTATCAAACTATATATCTGGAGTTAGTCACTTCCTCCCTCTGCAACCTGGGTGCTAAGAGTCCACRGAGCCAAACYAACACCAATYAAAAGAACACTAGAAATTTGCTTTGTTCAGTTTCTCCTTCTTCTGCTTAAGTCTCATTAAATGAGGCAATATTTTAAATAGAGCTAAGGTAGTTGTAAACATGGAGACATCTGGCTTTCACTGGATAATACTATGGTTAAAATCAAAATTACCTTCTCTGAAGCACACTAGGAAAGTGAATTCAGTTCTACAGAAAGCTGCCTTTGTGTTTACTTTGGTCCACACCTCAACCCTTAGCCACAAAATAACATGGAATGAGCGCACAGATATAAGAGCCTAAAAAATACAAGCACTAGTATTTCATACCTCTCTTCCTCYGTTCGTGTTAGAAAGTAGCACGAGCTATAACAGACACAATGAATATGAAAACTTCACTTGCTGAGTGAGGAACAAGACTTTAAACCCTAAAGACAAAAAACAGAGGGTATAGAATTATTGGCACTATCAGTGCCCTTACATGAGATGAAATGCTGCTCCTCCTACTGCTGCACGCAGAATCTGAGGGTTCTAACTTGGAAATCAGCTCTTCCAGTTGGCCAACAAGATCCTGTTGTGTTGAGATATCCAGTTGGGATTTCAAGTGCTCCAGTCTGTCCAGAGGCAAGTTTTTTCTTGCCTAATAGTAGAGAGTGAAATAGAAGCACTGTTATTCTAACGCACGGGGTAAAAAGCAAAAGGCTGCTTTTGAAGATTCCATATATGGAGGCTAAGTTTCACAAGATGTGTAATGCCTAAAATGCCTATTTTTAAAAACGTCCAAAGATACCAACTTGAGAAATCCATAGAGCTTCTTRCAGGAGAACAACAGGAAACTAAAGTTGCATTACATACTTAGGGGGAGATATTTACTTACTCTGCAAGAAATGATTGAATTCTGGAAGAGACAACAGACCCTGGCAGCCAGGGTCCAGAACCCTCTTCTCATGAGACGCTCTATGCAACGGTCGACCAACAGAAGGGAGAGGTGTACGACTTTGCCATTTGTGTGCAGACAGAACAGTTCATTTTTGTAAACTGCAATATCCTGAATATCTGCAAAATCAGATGCACAAAAGTGATTAAGCATGAAATCACTAATCAGGACTCCTTTCTGTTCCTGAAGATAAATGAAAACATTTCACATCTGACTTCCAATGAGTGCAAAACATTAATAGTTCCTAGTATAACCACAGCACAAAGAACAAATATCAACCAGCACTCAGCTAGCATCTAAACTATGAAGCATAAATGAAACACCAAAACTTACAGACTTGGATTTCTAGAAAACATTCTGAAAAAACAAATTAGCAAAAAACACTTAAGTTACTGAAGGTTTCTTTTTCCTTTGAAGAGGAATGAAAATACTTTCACCTTTCAAATAGTTTGCAATTGAGATGGTCATGTTATATGCAAGGACTTCATAACATAGGCTCTGGAAAATTAATACCAAAAAAAAAATAAATAAATAAATAAATAGAGAGAGAAAGAAAGGTTTGAGAGAATATAACCCTAGCAAGTTCTARGACTACAATAATAACTACATACTCAGAGCTATTTATGAGGTTTCTTGTATGCTCCAACTCCCTAAAGTATCTTCCCTAGTATAGTTTTAGATTGGAGTTAAAAATGTCTTAAGCCTTCATTAAGCCTTCAGCAGCCAGATTATCCTTTAGAGGATACACGAGACTAAATCTAAATAAATAAATAAATAAAATAAATAAAATAAATTAAAAAAAAAAAAAAACAGAAGTGAGAAAAGGATACTGTGGACTGAGCTATTCTCCTACTGCACTTGATAATTTTAAAATTCATTATACAGTATGCTTTGTTTCTCAAGCATTTTATAGATGCTTTTAGATGTATGAGGAAGAGSTGGGAGAGTGGTTGGTTTCTTCGTACTCAAAGATGCACCAGATAGATAAGGAAAATGAGTTTTTTGATAAGTGTTCTGCAATCCAGCTGTGGAAACAGAGCTTGAAAAAGCTCCGTGCTAGGTAAGGGCCTCAGAAGTGACAGACAGCAGTTCAAAAACAAGAGTTTTCAAGCCTACCTTTCACTTCACTCCAGAGCAAGACTTGAACGCTCTGGGGAAGAAARATGTAAATGCCTCTCTCTGTCCAGGTCATCACACAGTGCTCACTGCAGGCRGAACAAATAAGAATTCAACGTTGCATTGCATCAGCCACAGGCAGCCACTGCCAGCCTATGTCATGCCAGCCCTGCAGATGCTAACTACAGCAAAGGAGCAACGAGGCTGATCTTCAGCACAATACTTGGGAAGTCTTACACAAAAGAAATACCAAGCTGATAAGACAAGTTAGAAGGCTATACTTTATTAATTTATTTTTACTTTTAAGCCTACTTCATCAACAGGACAACTACTGACAGATACTTACGTCAAATATAGGAGCTTGGGAAATGATAAAGATTGTGGAGAAGAACTGGCACCAGTGTAATGCGGATCCAGCCTATAAAGCAACAAATGAAAGGATCAGTTAGGAAGAAAACCTGCAATAATAATGTTAAAAAGCGCTATATTCCTAAATCTATAAACACAATGTTTGCTGAAAAGTGTATAGTCTTAAAGACACATTCATTGCAACAGATCCACATGCAGAGCCAAGGTCTTATTTTTGATAACTCAACTACTGGCTTCAATTAATAGAGTAAGAAACATTAAGATTACAACTAGGACTATGTTTGACTGCATTAGAGTTAATTTCAGCTTCTCAGTACTCATGTAGTTTGTCTCAGACCAGAAGTCACAAGCCAACTTATCACTGATAAAATTCATACTAGTACCCRAGAGTAACAACAGGGAGAGGTGGTGATGACAGCAGCTGCTTGAACTGATGGGTGCTCTGCACTTCCCCTTCAAAGTTCACCTCCCACATCCGTGAGCCAGGCCGAGCACAATATATTAATGGCTGCTGATTCCCATTGTTCTTTCCAGCTGGGAAGAAACAGGCTCCAAATTCTCCATCTCTTTCTTTGTTACCAATTTTCCAGAACTTCTCTCTGATGGGCAAAATGTATTTATTTAGACAACGCTAATAAAATCGTTGGTTTCAGGTTCTCCTTGATGAATCAAAATACTAAATGCTAATGCTGAACTGTTTTTGATTTTTTGAGGGGCTTGGGGTAGAGGRCAGGTGTTTACAAGTCTGTAACGATTAGCATAAAAGACAGGGCGAAACAACATTTATAAGCTGAATCTGACCAGGGACAACAGTATCAGCAGCCAAGAGGAAACACAGGAAGAAATAAGCATGAAGGCACTAGAGTGAGACCAGCAAAGGGCCACAGAGAAGATTATGGGATCAGTGCATCCCACACAGGGCAGGAGCTGGGATCGTCCAGCCTCGAGAGGCTCATTTATATGCTCATTACCGCATATAAATACGTGACAGGAGCGAGTGAAGGTCAGAAACAGGCTCTCCTCAGCRGTGCCATGTGAAGGCACAAGGGGAAGTGGATGCAAATGTAAATATGGGAAATTCCATTTAAACACAAGGGTTTTGTTTGCTTGTTTTTAACACTATGAGCATGGCCAAATGCTGGAAGAGGATGCCAAGAGAGCCTGTGGAGTCTCCATACTTTGACATGTTCAGAACCTAACTGGACAAAGTTTTGTGCCATGTGCTCTAAGCGATGCTAATTTGAGCAAAAAAATGAGACTGGGTGATCTTCATAAGCCCCTTCCAGCTGCAGCTATGCTTTGTGATTCTATATCGAGTTCATTATTTTAACAAGGAAAATATTGCTTGCCTTTCAGTATCACATAAATAAGTACGTGTAAGTGAAGATATGAGCAGTCTTCCATCCAAGTAGTCAAGCTGAACTACCCGAGAATCTACAGTTGTTATAATCTGAACAGGAAACATCACAAAAGTGGCAGCAGCCTAAGGTTAAAGAAGAAGGGAGTGGGGGGGGRAAAAGTGCATACTAAGATCATACGGAATAGACAAAGATAATGTAATTTCTTTCTCCTCACACCCTTACAAAACAAAGCTCTCATGTTTAGAGACTTAAGTCTTCCTCTTAGCAAAAAAGATTATTGAAAATTTAAGAAAAAGTCACATAGCAACCATATTTTCAATGAAGGCTATATTTTCTGTAACACGAGTTTGTTTTACTGTTGCTTTTGCCAATTTGTTTCTTTTTRCTAATTCAGATCTGCAGAATAACTTAATATGAAAAACTTCCCTTAGATTTAGATGACTAACATTAAATTTAAAGAATTGCACTATCACTCTGCAGTAAACAACCCAAATACTATTGATTATATAATTCTCTCAATCTGAATGGGTGCCAAAAGTCAGTCAAAGAGAGATTTCTTGTTCATTAAAAAAAGCAGTAAAGCTACAGGGAGTCCAAGTTTTATAACAATCACTGTCCCGGACAACTTCAAGCTGTTTCCTTTGTTAAGAATCTGTCAGCTCCTTATTTTCAACAACCCCATTGCTTTACAGAATTAGTAGGCCAATGCCTTTAACAGGTACAAGCAGGGCCCTAGTCCATGAATATTGCCCTATCCTTCTTTCCTTTTCCCTGCCCTCCCACAGGGTTCCCTCTCCCCCTTACTTTAAAGGCAATATGATTGTTATTCCTAATGCAAAGATTTTTCTTTAAAGGCTATTTTTTCATCCCAGTAGTYACCAAAGCTACCAGATCTTCATCAACTGCAAAGTTTTCTTCTGTTCTACCTCACTAAAATGAGGTGSAAAGATCTGCCATCTCATCCCTCAAAAACTTACTCATCTCAAAGAAAGGCAGACAACATTTTACCTTGCCTTGTTTCGATGTGTTAATCTTGATGGCTGATACCTTTCCCACATGATCTCCTACAAAAACCCGAAGGGCAGCTGTATCCCAGCACAGAGCTGTGACTTTCCTGCCCTTATGCTCAGAGGAAACATAAATCCTTTCTGGCTTCCCACGGCGTTCCTGGTTCAGTTCCCAGACCACTACAAGACCTTGGCTGCAACAGTTCAAAGGAAATGAATATTAGGAACAAGTCTTTTATAGCTACTCAGTGCTTTCTGAGATAAAGATGCAGAACTTCACAAACCTGAAAGCTACATCAAATATATCACTCACCTGGTGGCTACAGCAACATAGTCTTCATCATGTAAACAACATGCAACCCGGGAAATAGCACCTTCCTGAAACCAAGGGAGACTTTCAGCACAAGTACAAGCAGTTCCTGAACTACCTTTACTAACATGCAATTTTCATCCTTATGTATGAAATTATTAAATTATTAAAGTCAACAGTTGCTCTCAGCTCGTTGTGGAGCTTGTGTTCTATTTGCAACAATGACTTTATTGTAAAAAGATTCAGCTGACAACAACGTGAAAGTATCAAGAGGAACACTGATGGTTATCTACAAGTTAGTTGCTCTGGTTTTCTTCAAGTTTTTCTTCTGACTGTTAAGCAAAGAGGATTTTTTTCTTTTTTTTGACACTATTAAAATTAAGGATTTGAAGAACAGAAAGGCTTGTGCCTCTCAAATCATTTCCTTCACACCTCTTTTTTTTTTTTTTTTAAATAAAGCAGTTGACAATTTCACCTTCTTTGGAGATGTCAGTAAGCCAAACTCTCCCTTAATAAGCACTAAATTGGAACAATTTCCACTTCTACAAATGCTTTTGTGCTCAGTTCCTTACCTTATGGGTCAAGAAGAGTCTATTCTTCCAACCGTCCTTCTGGATAAGGTTGAGTCCTCCCCCTGACGTGCCTAGCGCAAGCCACCTCCTGGACACAGCGATGCACGTGCACTGAAGGAACAACGACTGTGATAAGAAACACAGCAGCTACCCGGGACCAATAAGTTGTTTTCTCACAACAAGTTCTTGTTGTTAAAGCAAGTTAAGTGTTTGCAAGCTTTGCATGCCACTCCTGAGAGAAAGCAGCACAATTTTGTCTAAGCCAACAGAACAAAACTCTCTGAGATTGAGGCAACCAGGAAAAGCTGGGAATCCTCCAAACTTCTTTTCAACCTATAGGTCCACTAAGAAAACACATACAGAGTAATAAGGCTTTCTGTTTTCACTTCTCCCATAGGCTAACCTGGGGACACCAAAGAGAATTAAAGAACGAGATTAACTTGGTGGGCTAAACAAAACATTACACCAAATACTTTTTTTTTCTTTAAAYGAACATCACAGTCTCACCTTCAGGCGACTAGAATCCAGCCTGAGTGCAGACAGCAATGGATCCAAACACTCAAACTCCGCCAGTACATAGTTGTAACAGTCTGGGATCATTTGCAGAGAGGCCATGGATGTAACGAAGAGCAGCAACACTCAGTCATCGGTGCATTACTGCTTCGGGCCTGGCAAAAACACGCTAGGTCGGTTATTAGTTTACTTTCTAGTACTACCCCTGCTGTTTTTTTAAGAAAGCTATTATAGAGAAAACATTCAAACAGCATCAGATTTCACTATGTCAGAGGGTCCTCTTTCCCTGGGTACTGCAAAATTAGAGCCCTCATTTGTTTACCATAAGCTTTTCTTTAAGTTCATTTCAGGAAAYTGATCCTATGAGGATTCAATTCTGGAAATACTTGTTGGTATTAGAAGCATTTACATCTGCTTGTGAAACAAGAGCCCTGCTTTCCTACAGAAAAGGCATCTTTCTGTCAAMATGCATGCCCCTCTCACCCAAATACACCTTATTTTAAGGCATCTCACCAAAACACTGCAGACAAACATTTAACAGGGGTATTTTACATTACACCTGCATCTTTTCCCTTCGCAAAACTGCAGTTACAGCGTAGTAGGTTTGCAACCTTAACTGACACCACATTCAACATTCCCTATGTTTGTGCATTTTCAGTATAGCTATGCTTATATCTGTGTAAGCAATGTAGTAGCACCTCCTCCTCTGCATGCAAAGTAGGTAGAACCAGATGAAAAAMAAAAGTTAAAGAGCTGAAAGCACAACTCCCATCTACCTTTCCTAAACAACACAAGCTGTATGTAAATATATATGCATACATAAACATAGCAGATGATTTTTTCTTTATACTTTCACATTGTTTGGAAAAAAAAGGGGGGGGTTACAAGTCGCACTTGAGTCTTAAACTTGCACGCATTTCACACTAACTCTATAAATCAAAGGAAAAGCCCCCAGAAACGCCCTCCTACGGGAACGTGCGTCACCAGAAGTGCCTAAGTTCTTTCTCAGGAGGCCCCAGAAAAGGCAGGGTACGCGCGGCCAGGGCACCCTCTCCTGACCGCAGCGCTTGGGAGAGCCCGGGTGCCTCCGCCCGAGCCCCCCGGGCCCGCGCGCCCAGGAGAGGCGCCGTCCAGCCGCTTTAAACACGGGAAGTCACAGCCGGTACTTTCGTTTTCTGCCCTCCCGCGCCGGCCCGCGGCCCCTGCTCGGCCCCGCGGCCACCCGCTCAGTCCAACCGTCACCCCTGCTCACCCCAACCGCCACCGCCAACGGCCGCCGCACGCCCCGCCCCGCCCCGCGGCTGACGTCACCAGGAGGGAGGAGAAGGAGGACGGGCCGACCGCACGTACGTCGCGCCGGGCGCCGCAGGAAGCTGCGTCACGCCCCGCCCCGCCCACGTGACGGCGGCGCGCGCCCCCTCCCCCCTGGGGCCGTTGTCGCGGGGCGGCCCCTCCCCCGCGGCGCGGGGCGGCAGCGGCGGCCCCGCGCCGGGAGCGGAACGGAGCGGAGCGGAGCGGAGCGGAGCGGCGGGCCCGGCTGACGAACAACGACGGCAGCGCCGCCCGTTCCCTCGCCGCGGCGGCGGGAGGCGGCAGGAGGGATAGGGGGGCGGCGCCACGTGACCGGGAAGGCGCCCGCGATGGCGGCGGCGGCGGGGGGAGGGGAAGGCGCGGCCGTCACGTGACGCGGCGCCCGCCCCGCCGCCGCGGCGTGTTCCGGTCACGTGCCCGCGCCGCCCCATGGCCCCGGAGGCGGCCGGGCCCCCCTAGCAGCGGCG